TGAAAAGGCGAAGGAATGGAACTAGATGGCTTGAAATAGTCCTCCTTGAAATGCTTGAAATACTCCTTTCTCCTTGCCATTTGATAGAATTATTCCTCCTTGCTCTCCTGAACTACGTCCATCCTCAGGCTATAGTACGAGTACGCTCTCGGTAGACTTAACACCAACTTAATTTCGACTAAATTTTAATCATTCAAGTCGAATAACATTCATCTAGGCCCTTGGCCTTCCATCTTACTTCCCTTATGCAAAAAGCTGTAATGATTGATTGCTAGCAGTAAGAATACAGTTAGCTCCTTTCTTCCCCGACCTGGGGCGAAAGAAAGCAAAGAAACTAGGCTTCTTTCAGATCCCAATAAGCGGGTAACTAAGTTCTACTCGTCAAGTAAGGCCTTACTTTTTTAGCGAAGATCAGAACCGATTCAATGTCCAAGCGGGCCCAATGAGAAGAGACCCACCCTACTCTCTCTCCTCATGTATTGTATGATGTGATACATATTTACTACATGACGGGGGCCCTTCCGTTCAGAGGTAGCGAGGGAAATCGAATTCTTCCCTTAAATTCCACGTATTAATTTGACGGTGAAGGCGGGTGGCACAGCTTGCTTGCTGCTTTTTTGTAGTTAAATCCTCTCGCATTTGATCCAGGAATTTAAGGGAATATTCGCGATTCACCTGTCGGCCCCCGAAGAATTTATCCCGAATGAGTGGGGAAAAGTCCCATTCGTCTTCGGGATAAAGAGCTTTGAGTTCGGCTATTATCCGATTTTTTTTGCAAAAAATGGGATATAGCTAGCTCCATCAAAAGGCTTCTTTGCTGTATCGGGAATGCCTTTATTCTTCCGATGACTTGACACTGGTGCAGTCTCAGTTCCCGCTCTTCCAGCTCTAGTTTAGTTTTTTCTTAAATAAAGCGGTGGTAGCGCGTCGAGATTTCATAACCGCAGTGAGAGTAGCCGTATTAGGGGTAATACCCTAAGTAAGGATACCAGTCCCCGGAATCGGAACCGGAAGATAGCCAGACTCGGTTGTGAGGAGCAGCTGGTGGAGTAAGCACTTTTCTTGTTACAGTATCCTTTGTTAACGTAGACGCTGTTGGGACTGATTCCTTGACTGTTGTTTTCAAATACGCTCTTTGAAGGACAACTTCCCTTGTTAATGTACGAGCAGGAGACTAGAAGAAAGATGCCTAAAATAAGATGCTATAATATCTATATATAGTATGAAAGGGATCCCCAAATGCCCATATTAGCGAAATCTTACTCAATAGGAAGCCTCTATGGCTTGTCTTTTTATTGGACTGATAGAGCTCGCTCTAATCTTTATTTAGAATAAAGACTCACATACTTCATTCTTAATTGAATGTACTATCTTTGAATGGATGCACAGAATCCACAGCTATTGAATCCGATCTTTGAAAGAAGGAAGAGGCATATGCCAGAACTGCTTTAACGAATGAATCCCCTGTTAGGACAAAAAAGCTGCTTGGGTCTCCCTTGGTTTGCTAGAATATACTCTTATATGGACAGAAATGCACCTTAGAAAGATAAGACTGTTGTTTCCTTTAGGAGCTGAAATGCCGACATCTACTATTCTCTTAGGCCCCCACTATTATCTCGCAAAACCAATGGTTGACTGTGGAGCAAGTGAAGTTAGGTATCTTTACCATGAGTGGAGGGTAATCTTGCAAGTGTTCCGCGAACGACCAGTGGTTTTGCGAGACAGGAGTGAGCCTGAAAAATTTAATTGAAGGGAAGGTCGCCCTTTTTTTTAAGAAATGCTGTCAGTGAAGAAAAGTAAACTGTCATACCAGGCAAAGACTTAAGCCGCCGACCCCCGCCAACAAAAGGAGAAAGAAACCTTAAAAGGCAGAGACCCCTTAAGAATGTCATTCGATTCCCTTCTTCCGATTCCGAATCCGAAGATGCGACTAGAAGACAAAGGACGGGTAATCAAGCCTTTACTTTATAGTGAAGCTAGCCTATTAGGCGCTGTGTAAGAGCTCTATGCTATCTATGGAATAGCGGTCAGTGCTGCTTGATTGACTGCTTGAAAGTTTGAACCAAGACTTGAGAGTCTGATTCAATCCAAACAGTTCCCATCTTTGGTGCGTTAATCGGAAGAGGGGGCAGGGCTTGAATGCCCATTTCCTTAAATGAATATATATATGGGAAATTTAAAGTAGTATCCGTTGAGTCATTCGCAGAAGCAGCTCTTTCAAAAAGCACCCAAATCTGATGAAGGAACTGCGGAATCAGCGCTTTCTTTCATTCGCTGAAAAACAGCACCGAGAATAGAATAAAAAAATCCGATAGATCATACAACAGGCATCATTCTAAGAAGCGGAGCCTAGGGCTGCTCTTTCCCTCTCAATCTGAACCGGCTGAAGAGGAATTCTTCCCTTGAAGCCGAGGCCAAACTAAGATATCAAGTTTATCCCGAAACAACGGATTCCTTACCCTCATCAGCCCCAAGTAACGAATCCGAATGCCTATCTCCTGCCGAATTCGTTTCATAAGACTTATTGGAATGGAAGAAGCAATTGGATAAGAATTATAGGCTGAATGAGCAGACGAATCGACCGAGGAAATAAATGCTTACACACTCGAACATAACCAAACTCCACTTCTTTTTTTTTCTTTTTATTGTCCTCTCAACAGGTCAGTCAATATCAATAGTGGAAGAAGGAGAGTAGTCCCTCCGGTCATCAGTTAGTAGTTGAAAAATCCCAGTAGTGGTCCTCTGCCTAGCGGAGTCAGCCTTTAATGGACAATGATAGGCAGACCAAAGATTGCACATCGCAGTCTAAGCGTGCTTGCTTTGCGCACCGGCACAGCAGAATTAGAATCCGCTGGCTCAGATGAGTGGCTCTTGGCTCACTTCCTTGAGAAGGGCTTATTTATTGTAACTAAGAAATGAGAATTGTTGACCCATATGATCTCTCAGGCTCAAAAAGAGGAGGAAACTTACAATTTAACACTTAGAGATTGAGCTCGTCAGTGATCTTTTCCATGGTGTCATGAGAAAGCAGCTTTGAACATGACATTCGTACCCCAGGAAAGTTTTGGCAGGCATTACTGTGATCTTGAAGCCCTTGCTAGGAGCTACTCGGTACGGCTCACTACTAAAGAAGGTTCAGGCATGCTTCGACTTAGCCCTGTGATCCGCTAATTCATCTCTGGATCTGGTATTCCGCAAAGGAGGTGGATAGGCTCTATGTATCGTACGTGGAATAATAAGAAGAAAATAAATAAATCGGAAGGAATAAGAAAATAACTCATAAGCGGATTGGCATGGGTGAGATGGCATATTACCTTTTTAGGCTCCTAGAGAGAAGATCCGGATGGGACTCGGACGAGATAGCTCTTTTTACTTCGATGAGATGGATCTGACTTCAGTCTTTGTTCAGATCAGGAGCTGACATGCTATTAAGGTAAGGTAGGCGCTTTGAAAATCCCTTCCTACAAAAAAGGAAAGGACAGACAGCAGGGAAGGGGATTCTTTGAAAGCCTACTACTCTTTTGCCCCTTAGCTAGCCCATTTAATTTAAATTTTTAAGAGGTGGTAGACATCCAATCCAGGGATAGGAATCGCCCGTTTTCGGGTCGGTTCCTTGGCCGAGGGGTCCTGTCATCATGGTAGTGGATGGGGTTGGATGAAGCAATATCCGGGATCCGTGGGCATCAATACATCGATTCTACCGCTGCTTTTGGTGCTTCTATCGCCATTTTATGACCATCGACGATGGGATCGGGGTCGTTATCGAGCATTACAGTGATCTCTGGCGGCCATATAATGGCCTCATGAATAGATAGCATAACCCTTCATGCTATGAAGTAAAAGCGGAGATAAACCTTAATCTGATGGCTTGCACGGTAGTCATCATTTCACATGATTGTCATCGTTGCATTTTAAAATATAATATAATTTTTTATTTTTAAAGGCGGTCCTTTCTTTCCCCCGACCGATGACTCGCTTGTTCAGTACTGCTAACTATTATAGTATAGGAGGATGCCGTCCCGTCCCCTCGGGACTACCAGTAGTTTCGGTTGTTGAATCTCGTGCAAGTTAGGTTGTGCTTGTATTGGCTGCAAGCGGAACGTAGGCGCTTTAGGTAGGTGTGTGTTGACCATGCACTCTCGCGTCATGTAATGTCGTATGTATGATAGAGGTGGTGTGGTGATTGACCTCAATGCTAATGGTTATCCCCAAGGTTTCAACGAATGAATGAAGCTATGATCGTACCCGGATAGAAATGACGGTCTTCCTCTGATGTCTCCAAGCCGGCCATAATAGAATAGATAGGCAAAGCAGCCAATAGCAGTTTTAGCCTATCGATAGATAGTAGGTTGCTTCCAAGCTCAAACCATTTGAAACTAAATTGCTACTGTCTTATTTTATTGATAGAATGGTCTTCTCCGCCCCTGTCAAATAAAGTAGAGGGAGAGAACTGGAAGAGAGAAGGAAAAAGAGCAAAGGATTTACAAGTCTAAACATCTGGGAGAGGAATGCCTTAGTTATCGTGCAACGTTGACTGCCCTTCGAGAAAAAATAGAACCCAAGCGGTCTAAGCCCGGGACGGACCCCAAACCGAAAGAAAGGCTAGCGCCTTCCCTCTATCAGGCTAACGGCAAGCGAGATAAAGAAAGCAGCCGGCCCTATGTGTCAAACCTTGCCGCGGGAGAGTCTTTCTCCAATGAGAATCAAGCAAGGTTTTGGGCAAGACAAGAAAAGGAACTCGCCCCTTTGACACCACACCAAGGGATAAGAGCTGATTGCTGGCGATGACTTGGTGAAAGGAATATATGAGAGAAGGTTCTCAACCGGGTTCCGCTTGGAAATCTAAATAGTAAGAGCGCGGACGCGGAACCAACGAGTTCAGTCGAACAGCGTAACGAGTCTAAGGTTACAGAAGCGTTCGCCTACTTTGATAGGTAAACGCATTGCAAGCAATAGAGCAGAGAGCTTACCGTCTTTTTCTATAGAGTCGCGAGCTTGGCTTGTTGTAGTCGGTCCGTGAAGAGAGAACTTGCTGCTTACTTGCTATATCCCCGCGTTCTTGCACGGCTCGTTCTTCGAGCCTCTTCTCCCGTCCCCCTCTCCTTTTTACTTTATCGTCCAAAACAAGGCCGTATGGAGTATAGCCAAGTGGTAAGGCATCGGTTTTTGGTACCCGGCATGCAAAGGTTCGAATCCTTTTACTCCAGATTATGAACACCCGATCGGATCTGTCAAGAACGAGCTGACGACTACAGGGGAAGCGGCTGATTGCAGTCCCTGAGCCCAGCCCCCGGAGCCGGAGCCGGAGGGGAGGAATTGCATGGTTCCCTGGCGCTTCATGGGCGGGCGTTCGCAGCTAAGGGGATCCCCTCCCTCTAATCTACTCCCCTCCCCGCTCCCCATACGAATTTGACTACGATCCCCTGAGCGTCCAGGGAACCATGCATTCCTCCCCTCCGGCTCCGGCTCCGGGGGCTGGGGCTCAGGGACTTCAATCAGCCGCTTCCCCTGTAGTCGTCAGCTCGTTCTTGACAGATCCGATCGGTGTTCATAATCTGGAGTAAAGGATTCGAACCTTTGCATGCGGTACCAAAACCGATGCTTACCACTTGCTATACTCCATACGGCCTTGTTTTGGACGATAAAGTAAAAAAGGAGAGGGGGACGGGAGAAGCAGGCTCGAAGAACGAGCCGTGCAAGAACGCGGGATATGCAAGTAAGCAGCAAGTTCTCTCTTCACGGACCGACTACAACAAGCCAAGCTCGCGACTCTAATAAAAAAAAGACGGTAAGCCTCTCTGCTCTATTTGCTTGCAATGCGTTTACCTATCAAAGTAGGCGAACGCTTCTGTAACCTTAGACTCGTTACGCTGTTCGACTGAACTCGTTTGGTTCCGCGTCCCGCTCTTACTATTTAGATTTCCAAGCGGAACCCGGTTTGAGAACCTTCTCTCATATATTCCTTTCACCAAGTCATCGCCAGCAATCAGCTCTTATCCCTTGGTGTGGTGTCAAGGGCGAGTTCCTTTCTTGTCTTGCCCAAAAACTTGCTTGATTCCATTGGAGAAAGACTGCTCCCGCGGCAAGGTTTGACACATAGGGCCGGCTGCTTTCTTTATCTCGCTTGCCGTAGCCTGATACAGGGAAAGGCGCTAGCCTTTCTTTCGGTTGGGGTCCGTCCCGGGGCTTAGACCGCTTGGTTCTATTTTCTCGAAGGCAGTCAACGTGCACGATAACTAAGGCATTCCTCTCCCAGATGGTTAGACTTGTAAATCCTTTGCTCTTTTTCCTTCTCTCTTCCAGTTCTCTCCCTCTACTTTATTTGACAGGGGCGGAGAAGACCATTCTATCATAAAAATAAGACAGTAGCAATTTAGTTTCAAATGGTTTGAGCTTGGAAGCAACCTACTATCTATCGATAGGCTAAAACTGCTATTGGCTGCTTTGCCTATCTATTCTATTATGGCCGGCTTGGAGACATCAAGAGGAAGACCGTCATTTCTATCCGGGTACGATCATAGCTTCATTCATTCGTTGAACCTTGGGGATAACCATTAGCATTGAGGTCAATCACCACACCACCTCTATCATACATACGACATTACATGGACGCGAGAGTGCATGGTCAACACACACCCTACCTAAAGCGCCTACGTTCCGCTTGCAGCCAATACAAGCACAACCTACTTGCACGAGATTCAACAACCGAAACTACTGGTAGTCCCGAGGGGACGGGACGGCATCCTCCTATACTATAATAGTTAGGCAGTACTGAACAAGCGAGTCATCGGTCGGGGGAAAGAAAAGGACCGCCTTTAAAAATAAAAAATTATATTATATTTTAAAATGCAACGATGACAATCATGTGAAATGATGACTACCGTGCAAGCCATCAGATTAAGGTTTATCTCCGCTTTTACTTCATAGCATGAAGGGGTTATGCTATCTATTCATGAGGCCATTATATGGCCGCCAGAAGATCACTGTAATGCTCGATAAACGACCCCGATCCCATCGTCGATGGTCATAAAATGGCGATAGAAGCACCAAAAGCAGCGGTAGAATCGATGTATTGATGCCCACGGATCCCGGATATTGCTTCATCAACCCCATCCACTACCCATGATGACAGGACCCCTCGGCCAAGGAAACCGACCCGAAACGGGCGATTCCTATCCCTGGATTGGATGTCTACCACCTCTTAAAAATTTAAATTAAATGGGCTAGCTAAGGGGCAAAAGAGTAGTAGGCTTTCAAAGAATCCCCTTCCCTGCTGTCTGTCCTTTCCTTTTTGTAGGAAGGGATTTTCAAAGCGCCTACCTTACCTTAATAGCATGTCAGCTCCTGATCTGAACAAGACTGAAGTCAGATCCATCTCATCGAAGTAAAAAAGAGCTATCTCGTCCGAGTCCCATCCCGGATCTTCTCTCTAGGAGCCTAAAAAGGTAATATGCCATCTCACCCATGCCAATCCGCTTATGAGTTATTTTCTTATTCCTTCCGATTTATTTATTTTCTTCTTATTATTCCACGTACGATACATAGAGCCTATCCACCTCCTTTGCGGAAATACCAGATCCAGAGATGAATTAGCGGATCACAGGGCTAAGTCGAAGCATGCCTGAACCTTCTTTAGTAGTGAGCCGTACCGAGTAGCTCCTAGCAAGGGCTTCAAGATCACAGTAATGCCCTGCCAAAACTTTCCTGGGGTACGAATGTCATGTTCAAAGCTGCTTTCTCATGACACCATGGAAAAGATCACTGACGAGCTCAATCTCTAAGTGTTTAAATTGTAAGTTTCCTCCTCTTTTTGAGCCTGAGAGATCATATGGGTCAACAATTCTCATTTCTTAGTTACAATAAATAAGCCCTTCTCAAGGAAGTGAGCCAAGAGCCACTCATCTGAGCCAGCGGATTCTAATTCTGCTGTGCCGGTGCGCAAAGCAAGCACGCTTAGACTGCGATGTGCAATCTTTGGTCTGCCTATCATTGTCCATTAAAGGCTGACTCCGCTAGGCAAGAGGACCACTACTGGGATTTTTCAACTACTAACTGATGACCGGAGGACTACTCTCCTTCTTCCACTATTGATATTGACTGACCTGTTGAGAGGACAATAAAAAGAAAAAAAAGAAGTGGAGTTTGGTTATGTTCGAGTGTGTAAGCATTTATTTCCTCGGTCGATTCGTCTGCTCATTCAGCCTATAATTCTTATCCAATTGCTTCTTCCATTCCAATAAGTCTTATGAAACGAATTCGGCAGGAGATAGGCATTCGGATTCGTTACTTGGGGCTGATGAGGGTAAGGAATCCGTTGTTTCGGGATAAACTTGATATCTTAGTTTGGCCTCGGCTTCAAGGGAAGAATTCCTCTTCAGCCGGTTCAGATTGAGAGGGAAAGAGCAGCCCTAGGCTCCGCTTCTTAGAATGATGCCTGTTGTATGATCTATCGGATTTTTTATTCTATTCTCGGTGCTGTTTTTCAGCGAATGAAAGAAAGCGCTGATTCCGCAGTTCCTTCATCAGATTTGGGTGCTTTTTTGAAAGAGCTGCTTCTGCGAATGACTCAACGGATACTACTTTAAAATTTCCCATATATATATTCATTTAAGGAAATGGGCATTCAAGCCCTGCCCCCTCTTCCGATTAACGCACCAAAGATGGGGAACTGTTTGGATTGAATCAGACTCTCAAGTCTTGGTTCAAACTTTCAAGCAGTCAATCAGCAGCACTGACCGCTATTCCATAGATAGCATAGAGCTCTACACAGCGCCTAATAGGCTAGCTTCACTATAAAGTAAAGGCTTGATTTACCCGTCCCTTTGTCTTCTAGTCGCATCTTCGGATTCGGGAATCGGAAAGAAGGGAATCGAATGACATTCTTAAGGGGTCTCTGCCTTTTAAGGTTTCTTTCTCCTTTTGTTGGCGGGGGTCGGCGGCTTAAGTCTTTGCCTGGTATGACAGTTTACTTTTCTTCACTGACAGCATTTCTTAAAAAAAAAGGGCGACCTTCCCTTCAATTAAATTTTTCAGGCTCCACTCCTGTCTCGCAAAACCACTGGTCGTTCGCGGAACACTTGCAAGATTACCCTCCACTCATGGTAAAGATACCTAACTTCACTTGCTCCACAGTCAACCATTGGTTTTGCGAGATAATAGTGGGGGCCTAAGAGAATAGTAGATGTCGGCATTTCAAGCTCCTAAGGAAACAACAGTCTTATCTTTCTAAGGTGCATTTCTGTCCATATAAGAGTATATTCTAGCAAACCAAGGGAGACCCAAGCAGCTTTTTTGGGTCCTAACAGGGGATTCATTCGTTAAAGCAGTTCTGGCATATGCCTCTTCCTTCTTTCAAAGATCGGATTCAATAGCTGTGGATTCTGTGCATCCATTCAAAGATAGTACATTCAATTAAGAATGAGTATGTGAGTCTTTATTCTAAATAAAGATTAGAGCGAGCTCTATCAGTCCAATAAAAGACAAGCCATAGAGGCTTCCTATTGAGTAAGATTTCGCTAATATGGGCATTTGGGGATCCCTTTCATACTATATATAGATATTATAGCATCTTATTTTAGGCATCTTTCTTCTAGTCTCCTGCTCGTACATTAACAAGGGAAGTTTGTCCTTCAAAGAGCGTATTTGAAAACACAGTCAAGGAATCAGTCCCAACAGACGTCTACGTTAACAAAGGATACTGTAACAAGAAAAGTGCTTACCCACCAGCTGCTCCTCACAACCGAGTCTGGCTATCTTCCGGTTCCGATTCCGGGGACTGGTATCCTTACTTAGGGTATTACCCCTAATACGGCTACTCTCACTGCGGTTATGAAATCTCGACGCGGCTACCACCGCTTTATTTAAGAAAAAACTAAACTAGAGCTGGAAGAGCGGGAACTGAGACTGCACCAGTGTCAAGTCATCGGAAGAATAAAGGCATTCCCGATACAGCAAAGAAGCCTTTGATGGAGCTAGCTATATCCCATTTTTGCAAAAAAAATCGGATAATAGCCGAACTCAAAGCTCTTTATCCCGAAGACGAATGGGACTTTTCCCCACTCATTCGGATAAATTCTTCGGGGGCCGACAGGTGAAGTCGCGAATATTCCCTTAATTCCTGGATCAAATGCGAGAGGAATTTAACTACAAAAAGCAGCAAGCAAGCTGTGCCACCCGCCTTCACCGTCAAATTAATACGTGGAATTTAAGGGAAGAATTCGATTTCCCTCGCTACCTCTGAACGGAAGGGCCCCCGTCATGTAGTAAATATGTATCACATCATACAATACATGAGGAGAGAGAGAGTAGGGTGGGTCGTCTTCTCATTGGGCCCCGCTTGGACATTGAATCGGTTCTGATCTTCGCTAAAAAAGTAAGGCCTTACTTGACGAGTAGAACTTAGTTACCCGCTTATTGGGATCTGAAAGAAGCCTAGTTTCTTTGCTTTCTTTCGCCCCAGGTCGGGAAGAAAGGAGCTAACTGTATTCTTACTGCTAGCAATCAATCATTACAGCTTTTGCATAAGGGAAGTAAGATGGAAGGCCAAGGGCCTAGATGAATGTATTCGACTTGAATGATTAAAATTTTAGTCGAAATTAAGGTTGGTGTTAAGTCTACCGAGA